GACAGCAGAGACTGAATTGACTCTCAGTGTTTCATGTTAGTGATCCTGTCAGCACGTCATGGGTCAGCTGTTTCTGATCAATAAAGTTAATGTGTGTCCCATTTTCCTCAGATGCTCCTAAAGACACCTCAGCATCCATCAGTCCATCAGGTTTGGTGTCAGCAGGTAGCTGGGTGGAGCTGAGCTGCTCCAGCAGAGCCAAGCCTCCTGCCAGCTTCACCTGGTTCAGGAACAGCAAACATGGAGCCATTAATGTATCTGAGGGGCAGGTTTACAACTTCACTGTTACTGAGGGAGGAGAATATTACTGTGAGGCTACAAATGATCTGGGGACTCAGAGATCATCAATGATCTTCCTTACATCTAAAGGTGAAAAAATTGCTGCACTGAATTACTCAATCATAATATCATACGTCCAATATGAGGTAGATTTGCTGTGAATCCTTTAACATCTTTTGACTTTTTATTGAAAATCAGATGGATTCTTGGTTCCAATCGCAGTTGGAATATCAGTGGTCATCCTCCTCATTCTTTGCTTGGTTGTGTTTGTTTGGTGAGTATTGAAGTTACAAGATCCAATCCTAAATATCCTATGGCATTCCATTTATATCCATACATTTATTTGAAGGTCTAAACATTTAACTTTGTATTACAAATAACATATTATTTCAAAGAAATATTATTCCACTTTCTACATAACGTCTGTGAGACGGAATGTTCAGCAGTTAAAACGAAACAAATTTCACATTTTTATTTAGAAATCAAGATAAGTAGAAATCACAATAATTCCAAAATATTTAGCTGTCCACAAATCGGAATTTACTTTTAGTTTTACAGCTACTCCTTATGAGATTGTCATCACATCTGCGATGCACTGATCATATTTTGCCACTGGAAAAGCAGGTTTTATAACTTTCCTATAGTTTCTCATTATTTCTTGGTTTTGCCTCTTGAAAAGTATTCATTATGTAACACCAAAGGTTTTGTGTTGAATTAGGGTGGGCAGATTAGTCTCACATGATAACGTTTTTGTTTTTAATCTGTTGCTATCAGTCTGCTCTCTTACTAGTTGCTTTGGATTATATAACATTTCTCAAAACATTGCATTTTCATATAGCTTTAGAGTTTCAAACTAATCCATAACTTGTGGTAAATTAATTGTAAATACAGGCTGATGTTCTACCTGCTGGGCAGTGCTGCCTAACGCAACTCCACTAGTGCCTCCGGGCTTGAGTGGCTCGGGAACCACCAGTCAAGGATGTTTCACTCTTTTTACCCCAGTACATCTCTGAATACTTGGCATGCTTGGGTTAATTGGCAACCACAATACCCTGCTCCCACGGTATGGTGAGCTCCGCCAGGTGGATGTTCTTGCCAAAAACTGACCACAAGGTCTGGCTGCAGTGATGTCTCCACAATCTCCCTAGGACACAGAAGTTGTTTTCCCTGGTTGACCCTCATGGACCACTCACCACCAGGTGAGAGGAGGCTGATGGTAATGTGTGGTGGGCAGGTTTTGGGGTTGTCCTTGGCTCTTGTGAAGAGGATGGAAATCATCACTGTTGAAGGACTTCTGCCGTCAGCTTCCTGTCTGTCACCTCTGCCAGCTTCCTCAACACCAAATGGTGTCTCCACCTGTAAGAGACT